CCTTGTGCTTGCCAGGCAAGTGCTTATTCTACTGAGCTATCTCCTCAGCCCCTGATTCTTGTTGTGTCCCAAATTAACTCTTTTTTAGTCTTTTTTTTCACCCCAGTATTGGGACTATACCCAAAGTCTACATGTTTGGTTACTTCCCCAGCCCATTTTTAGCTTTATAGTTTTGTAAAAGTCTCTCAATAAGTTACTAAGTTACCCAGGCAGAGCTTGAACTTCTGCTCCTCCTGCCTTAGCATTCCAGGGTCCTGGGATTATAGGCATGTACCACCACGCTCAGCTTCTGGTCTTGTTTATAAAATGGTATTGAAATATATTTTTACGGATTATAGTGGTAACAATGCTTTGTGTTAATGATTCCTTTGTTTTTATTTGCAGCTTATGGTGCTGCTGTCGGGAGTAATCGCTTTCATGGTGAACTTATCGATCTATTGGATCATTGGGAACACTTCACCAGTCACGTATCCTTTTAGTGACTCCTTACCAATGCTTGGCCTTTTATTTCCAAAACTGTCACATTCACTCCTTTCTTTGGCATCACACTAACTCTTCCATGGCCTAAATTGAAAGGAAGGGCTGGTCAGATAGCTCATTGGATTAAAGCACCTACTAAGGCAGATGCAGGGGCCAAGGGTTCGATCCCCAGCACGCCGTGCCAGCCCCACCCCTGGCGCTCGCTGAGACAGCAGTTGAGACTGGGTATGGTGGCACATGTCTATAATCCCAGCACTTGGGAGGCTGAAAAACAGGAGGATCACGACAAGTCCAGTCTATGTAGTAGAGACCCAGTAGACCATGTACTAAATACATTTAAAAAAAAAAAAAAAGCCCACTAACCTGAAAAGAGTAGTTAGTTTTGGTCTTTCGCTGTATCTTTCCACACTAGTCTATAGAATTTCAAAACAATAAGAACTCAGGAAATGAGTTTCCTTTCTGCACCATGAATATTTTTGAGTTTTCTTAAGTAATAGGTGATCTTTTCTCCTGTAAAAATTAGCTTCGAGCACCATTCCTTAGATAGTTGGTTTAAATAATCTTTGCTGAAAGAGTAATGGGGTGGAAGCTTGGGTTTTAGGCTCCTTCCAGTTATCTAGTAATAAAGCGCACGTGTGCTTAGCTTGCAGCATGAAAGATAACTTCAGACCCCTGCGTCTATAAGTGTGTCTCATATTTACGGTTCTTAGGCATGGGTTTGCCTAGTTATTTTTTAATAATTCAAATTTTAGAACAAAGTCACATTGGAGGTCAGCATCGCTTGCCCATTTTCACCTTTCTTGTCATTCTGTTTCTCTGCGCATTTCATTCTGTGTAAGCAGTTGTGCAGAATGTGTCCCCCAAGTCAGAGAGGCAATCTGGGACTACTGATTTGTAGTCTACTGATTTGAGTAAAGGAGTGACTACCGACATCCAATGCAGTCAGTGACATACTGGCCAACTATGAATAAAAGTGATGAAAGCAATTTTTTTTTTTTTTTGTATTTAGTACAGGGTCTCATTACACAAGTCGGACTTGTAGTGATCCTCCTGTTTTTCGCCTCCCCAGCACTGGGCTTACAGGCGTGCACCACCATCTGCAGTGTGGGTGGCTAGCTCAGAGCAGCCAGGGTGGGGCAGCATATGGTGCTGAATGTAGTACAGGTCTCTTTCCCTTCCTTATATAGTACTGCAGGCCACCTGCCCCAAGGTGGGTGTATCACGGACACCCATAATGCCAGCGTTGGAGCATGAGTCAGTCGAAAACTTTGGAAGCCCACCTGATGACTGCATGAGGCTTTAGGGGAACATCTAGGCACAAACTATACACCGTTGAAGTTTTGTTCTGTTTACTTATGAGACAAGGTCTCCCTGTGTAGTTCAGGCTGGCTTTGCACTTGGAATCCTGCCTCAGCCTCCCAAATGCTAGTATTATAAGCACACACCACCATGCCAAGCTGTTCTTTTTTTTTTTTTTTAATGTAAAGAAAGTCACCGAAGAGTCTTTATTTTTCTTGTTTTTTAATTTTTTTTTGCAGTATCAAGGATTGAACTCAGGACCCTGTGCTTGCTGGGCAGGTACTTATTCTACTGAGCTATCTCCCCAGGCCAAGAGCCTTTAAATTTGCCTTCCCTTTAGTATTAATATCTTTAACAGATCACAAGCAGCCTTAAAAATAGTACCAAGGGAATACAGACATGTAAAGCTGAAGTGTCGGTGCCTGTGCCCTCAAAGGCAGTGAATGATGAAGAGTAAAGCTCATTTTATTGTGATTATATAAACATCCTTAGGAAAAATCCTAGTATCTCAGGAAATCGCCTCCGGCAAGCACAGATAGCCCGTGTCCTGGGCCACGCAGTCCTGGGCACTGACAGTGCCCAGCAGGAGCTGCAGCGGCTGCCCACGTGCAGGGCCTGGTCTCAAAGCAGAAGCAAGAGCCTGAGCTTGGAGTCCCACAGGCCAGGTCTGCTGCTCAGCCGCTCGCGGCCTGTGACCCCGAGCAGGCTTGGGGCTCCCAGGGTGTCGCCGATGGCAGAAGGGGGCAGGGGTCACTTCGCACCTGCCAGCACATGTGAGGCGTTGGGTTCCATTCCCAGCACTGCAAAACAAGGAAAAGAAAAAGAATATGGGGCCGGGGAGATGGCTCAGTGGAATAAGCGCTTCCCTGGCAAGCGCAAGGACCTGAGTTCAATCCCTGGTTCTGCAAAAAAAAAAATTAAAGAAAAGATGGTGTGGGAAACTTTAATTTAGAAGGGAGTCATTGACTGTATACTAGATTACAACAGAAAAAAAAAATAGATTACAGCAGAGACTTTGGGGGTTTTTTGGTAATGTTGGAATATGGGGAATCAGACTCAGGACCTAAAGCTTGCCAGGCGGGTGCTGTGCCACTGAGCTAAATCCCTAGCTCTAGAGTAGGTGCTTTGGAGTTCAGTGAGCCACCTATGCTTGGACCTCCCACTCTGCCACTAAATTCCTTCATGGTCTGTGGCAGGTTGAAGTCCCTGAGCCTCCACAAGTGGACCATGGAGAGGGTGTGTGTGCAGTGGCATGAACGTGGTGCCCAGGGAAATGGTATGGGCCATGTCCCGTGCAGGGCTCATCGCGCTGTGATTGGGGCCGCCCCCCAACCCCCTGGGGGGCGCTAAATTGCTAAAACCTATAGGAAGGTAGGAATGACCCGGGACTTCACTAACCTTCCTGTTTGGTAGATGGGCGGCTACCTTCTATTGTTTCATGTGGTTCTCTCTAGCCGCAGAGTGGCTTTGCTCAAGCCCACACACCCACCTGTGTGTGTTCACGCGTGTGTATGCATGCATGTGTGCATGCGTGTGGACCGCTTATGTAGCTTGTTGCCATTTGTATCCTTATCTGAAAACCCAGCTATAACATGTTCGGACACTTCAAGTTCTGCATCACTCTGTGTGGCGGCTACGTGTTATTCAAGGACCCGCTGTCAGTGAATCAGGGCCTGGGCATTGTGTGCACATTGTTTGGCATTCTCGCCTACACACACTTCAAGCTCAGCGAGCAGGAGGGGAGTAAGAGCAAACTGGTACAGCGTCCTTGAGTCTTTGCGGAGAAAAGAAAGTTGCCCCAACACAAAAAAGGTTGTTACTTTCAAAAATGAAAAAAAGTGTAATGCAAAATGTATTGAAAGGTTTATAAGAAGTAATATGCATATTATTCATAACTATGACCTTTTTTAACGGTGGCAAAGTTTATCTGAAAAAGTAGAAGTGAGGTGTGCGGGAGAAATGGGCTGTGCTGCGCAAGCCTGGGCTGAGTAGGAGAGGAAAAAGCAAGGGGAAGCGCGCGCTGGGGCACGCGGGCGGCGGTGGGGAGGACAGCCACGACAGCCTCACATCCGGCTCTTCTGGTACCTTTTCAGAAAATTACTTCTCCAAACCGCAAGCTGGGCCTGTGGTGCATGGCTGCAATCCCAGCTTCTGGGACGCTGAGGCAGGAGAGTTGATTATGCAGAAGACTCTGTATCAAAAAAAAAAAAAAAATCTCAATAAGCAAATGCTTTGTGCTGCTTTTCAAAGGTGATTATAGGAAATATATCTAGGGCAGTCTGGTTACGCCAAGTGAAATACATGGAAAGGTCTGCACTGATGAGGAAGCAGTGTGCATTCCAGAGCTACAGAAGCGCGTCTTCATGTTGTTCGCAGGAAGGGCACAGAAGCGCAACCCCGCTGCCTGCCTGCTAGTGGATGCGTCTCCACTGTGAGATGTATTGCGATCTTGCTCGCGGGGTTCCAGGTGTGGGGAGGCTTGGAACAGAGCTTTGCGCAGGCCACAGATTACTCTGTCACCGAGTCACATTTGAGGAAGGAGTACCTGGAGCTATGAAGGAAATACGTGATCTCTGACCTTTTTTGGTGGCCGGCTCAGCCCACCCTGGAGGCCGGGCTGACCTGGCACATGGTGCCGGTGGTCAAACCATGGTCCCTGCGTGCTTGCCTAAGCTTGCCTAAGCAGGTGCCTTAGACCACTGAGCTACCTCGCTGGCCCTGTGATTTCTGATTAAGCAAGTCCTGTAGAGTGCCATGTACTTAATTATAAAATGTATTTTTAAAACTTACATATTTTTTTCTTGTGTATTTTTAGTACAGGGTCTACAAGGTCTCACTACACAGATCAGACTCATAGCAGCCTCCCAAGCACTGGGATTACAGGTGCGTGCCACCATGCCTGCTCTCACTGTCCATCTCGGCGCACCTGGGCACACTAGTGATCGAACCCCTGTCCCTGCATCTGCCTAAACAGGTGCTTTAATCCTCTGAGGTATCTGGCCGGCCCTAAAAATATATTTCTTCCTTCCAACTTCTTGACATTTGAATATTGATAGCGGTTGTTATTAGCCTCAATAAATTGAGACAGATCATTCCTCTGATAATCTTTTCCTGAACATTATGAACTTTCTGTGAGAAAACAATGTAAGAAGCAGCCACACATTTAGCTGGAAGTGGTGGCGCACACCTGTAATCCCAGCACTCGGGAGGCTGAGGCAGGAGGATCATTGTGAGTTCAAGACCAGCCTGCACTACAAAGTGAGCTCAAGGCCAGCCTGAACTGCTTAGTGATACCCTGTCTCAAAAAAAGACTATATATCATATCACCTTATTGAAGGTATATAGATGACATGTTTTGGTTTATATCTTTTATCACAACACACATACACGTTTTAGATATTTTTTTTCCTGACTCACTTAAAATAAGCTACACTGAGGGCTGGTGAGATGGCTCAGTGGTCTAAAGCACCTACTTAGAACAAGCTAAGCTAAGCAAAACACAGGGACCGCGGTTCGATCCCCAGCACCACATGCCAGCCAGCCCCGCCCCCTGGTGGGCTGAGCTGGCCACACACACACGAAATAAATAAATAAATAAATATTAAAAAAAAAAATAAGCTACACTACAAGTCGATTTTGAAAAATTCAGTTATGAGTCAATCTGTTGTATGATTAGTATGTGTAGTTTTCTGTTTTTATTTTAAATACTCTTTAGTTTTCAGCTTACGCTGTCTTTTACTGTGCTAAGAAGGATAGCATACCTCATCCCTACTGCAAGAGCCTTGGGTATTGTATGTGTGTGTCTAAGACACTTCTTCTGGGTAGGTAAGTTAGCATATAGCTGTTGCCCAAAAGCTGAAGAAAAATGTTTCATCTTTTTTTTTTTTTAATATATATATTTGGTATAGGGTCTCACTATGTAGCTGGGACTCACAGTGGCCCTGTTTTCAGCCTCCCCAATATAACACCGCACCCGCTCTAATGTGTCATCACTTTATAATTTTTTAATAATCTTTTTTTTTGGGGGGGGGGTCTGCAGGGAATTCAGGGTCTGGCTACTAGATCGGACTTGTAGTGATCTGCCTGTTTACAGCCTCCCAAGAGCTGGGATTACAGACTACAGACACGCGCCACCACACCCAGTCTCAGGACTATTTGATGTCATCACAGCCCAAGGGCCAAGCTGATCTGTGCCATGTACAAATTCTTAATTGTAAATAGAACTTACAGGCAGAGGGCAGTTAAGGGGAGCGTGGGGACTGCAGCACGTGAGTGAAGTCAGTAGAGATTCTATAGCAAAGTTGGGTAAGAGCGTATAAAAATGAATAAAATGCACACTGCCGAAATCTAGTGTATTTTTGCCTGAAGACAATCAGCACATTGAAAAGAAAATTTCTGGGAAAGTAACGCCCCAGCTGAGCGGGACCAAGCAGAGACTAACCAGGCGCAGTGCCTTGGAAGACACTGCGCTGCCCCTGGGTTACACGGAACTGGACATGTTTTTTTTATCTGATGTTAAATGATTTAAATTTTATCTGTTAAAAATAAAAGGAGCCTTTTGTTTTTACTTTTGTCTTGTGTATTCCTGCCCGTAAGAGAAAGATAACATCAGTGTGTGTGTGCGGGGCAGCGCGGGGCTGTTCTGCTCCCTGTATACAGGCAGTAAGGAAATGATTTCATGTCTCTCTTTTTTTTTGGCCGGCTCAGGCCACCCTGAGGACGGGGCTGGCATGGCATGTGGGGACCAGTACTGGGACCGAACCCTGGTCCCCTGGGCCTGCCTAAGCTTGCCTGAGCAGGCACTTTAGATCCGCTGAGCTATCTTGCCAGCCCTTCATGTCTTTCTTAAAGGAACACGAATGAGAAACATTCCTGTGAAATCAAGCAAGCTGCCTGATGTTCGGTTTTTTAAATATTTGAAAAACTTAGCTACTTTTAAATTGGTGTTGTCCTAAAATGTATTCCAAGGCGACAGCTTTGATCAAGCATCCTACATTCACTCCATCAGCAATAGCTGTTGGGTGAGTGAATCTGCAGGAAGTTACAATTTTAGGGGGGCCAGGGAGATGGTCAGTGGAATAAGCGCTTGCCTGGCAAGCGAGCGGCCTGAGTTCAATCCCCGGTTCCAAAAAAAAAAAAAGGAAATTACAATTTTCCATTTACAGTAAGAGCAGATTAATCAGATCCACCCTTCTAATCTTTTTTTTTTCTTGTTCATGTGAATTTCTTTGGATTCTATTTTTAGAAAATATATATAAAATATTAAATATGATTTAGTTTCATATTAGAAAACATTCTTTTAGGTTTTTCTGTTTGTGATGTTTATTAGGAGGTGAGTTGTTGCAAGTGCAGTGAATTTGGAGAATTTTTTTTTTTTAAATGTGGAGAACTATGTCACCTAAATCATAGGAATTTTTTTGGGGTAGGCTCAGCCTGCCCTGGGAGCAGGACTGGGGCGGCACTTGGTGCCAGGGATCGAACTGCAGTCTCTGCACTTGTCTAAGCTTGCCTAGGCAGGCATTTTGGTCTGCTGAGCTATGTGGCTGGATCCAATCAGGAATTTACATTTTTGTTTAAAAAAGTATAAAAGTCTCACAAGTACTATGTATGTATGCCACAAGAATAAGTGTACATATTTAACCACCTATTGACTATGGATTTCTGAATGTTTAACTTTTTAAGTCACTCATCAAAGGTTATTTTTCCTTTAAGATCATATGATCTATATTAACTACATGTCTTTTTGTGTGTGTGTGTCTTTCTGAGACGAGTCTCACTATGTAGTTCAGGCTGGTCTTGAACTCACGACGTATCCCAGCTTGGCCTCCAACTAGCAGTGAGCCTGGGTGGCCTCCTGAGTGCTAGGATTATGGGCATGCCTCCCCACGCCCAACTCAACCCTCTCTTCATTTCCTTTTCCTGTGTTTCTTCCTCTCTCCTGTCAGTTTCCTCTTTCCTCGGGCAGCAGAGCACTAGGTGGGCCTTGGCAGGCTTGCTGGGTGGTTCAGAGTCTTGGGACCCACTGGGATCTCCACTGCTCTGCTTTCCTGTAGGAATGAGCACACTCTCCAGACAGCAAGACCATCTTTTCTGCACTGGAGTAAAAAATTATGGAGAGACTTGACTTTTTTTTTTAACCCAGGAATTGGACCCAGAACCTCTTGCTTTCAGGAAGGCGCCGTGCCACTGAGCTATCTTCCTGGCCTTGACCATATTTTTAGAATGAAGATGTTTTATTCAGAGCCAGTGAGATAGCTCAGTGGACTAAGGGCCTGCTTAGTCAAGCGCAGGGACCAAGTTTGGTCCACCTGGGGTGCACTGAGCTGGCCAGAGTGCAGGCGTGGTGGTGCACACCTGTAACCTCAGCATGGGGGAGGCTGCGATAGGAGGATCACTACAAGTCCAAATTGCACAGTGAGACCCTGTACCAAATAACAGTAAAATAAAATGTTTCATTCAATTTAACAACAACAAAATACAAATAAAGAAAAATGGTGTATAGCAGTTAGTTTCCCAACAAAATCTACATTCCTTTCCTTTGCTTAGGTCTATCCTAGTGGCTAGAAATGATTTTTTTTTTTAAATCTTGTTGCCACATGGTGGTAGTCACGTGATGTCTCACCAGTAAAACAGAATGGGGAGTCTGCGGAGGACGCTGTGGTGATAAAGGGCAGAGGAGTGGCCAAGGAGATAGCTCAGTAGAATAAGCACTTGCCTGGCAAGTCCAAGGGCCTGGGTTCAATCCCCGGTTCCACCAAAATAAGTAAATAAATAATAAATAAATAAATAAAGGGCAGAGGTACCTGCTACTCCCTGCTCCTGCCTCTTTCGGGTCTTCTAGACAGCAGATGTCTGAAATTGTGCTTGACAGTTTATGACCATAAAGGATAGGTGAAAACCTGATGAGAAATGGGTTGCATGTTGAAACTGCCACTAGACAGCAGCTTCTAGGTCTCCTGACCTGGAGAAAAGAAGTGCTCTGTTGGATCAATGTACTTTTTTTTTCTTTTCTTTTTTTTTTTTTTTTTTTTTTTTTTTTTTTTTTTTTTTTGGTGGAATGGTGGGGTTGAACTCAGGTCCTTGCTCTTGCCAGGCAAGCACTTATTCTACGGAGCCATCTCCCTGGCCCCGGGTTAATGTACTTTTGATACAGGGAAACCTCCAAATGACTCGGAGAAAAACTGATCTCCCAACCTAAAACATACGTGGGATGAGTTCGTGTTCTCTGGAACCGAAGAATGAAATTTAGGAACAAGCAGAGGTTATGAGCAGAATATATTTATTGAAGGAATGAAAGCTCCTGCCCGAGAGAGGGACAAGAGGAGGTGGCCTCAAGTGGGTGGTCCCT